CTGAAACTAGATCCATGTATATCACCCTATACCAAGATTAACTCAAAATGGATCAAGGATCTTAATATCAGACCACAAACTCTAAAGTTGATACAGGAAAGAGTAGGAAATACTCTGGAGTTAGTAGGTATAGGTAAGAACTTTCTCAATGAACCCCAGCAGCACAGCAACTAAGAGATAGCATAGATAAATGGGACTCATAAAACTAAAAAGCTTCTGTTCATCAAAAGAAATGGTCTCTAAACTGAAGAGAACACCCACAGAGTGGGAGAAAATATTTGCCAGCTACACATCAGACAAAGGACTGATAACCAGAATATATAGGGAACTTAAAAAACTAAATTCTCCCAAAACTAATGAACCAATAAAGAAATGGGCAAGTGAACTAAACAGAACTTTCTCAAAAGAAGAAATTCAAATGGCCAAAAAACACATGAAAAAATGCTCACCATCTCTAGCAATAAAGGAAATGCAAATTAAAACCACACTAAGATTCCACCTCACCCCTGTTAGAATAGCCATCATCAGCAACACCACCAACAACAGGTGTTGGGAGGATGCGGGGAAAAAGGAACCCTCTTACACTGTTGGTGGGAATGTAAACTAGTACAACCACTCTGGAAAAAAATTTGGAGGCTACTTAAAAAGCTAACATTGATCTACCATTTGATCCAGCAATACCACTCTTGGGGATATACCCAAAAGACTGTGACACAGGTTACTCCAGAGGCACCTGCACACCCATGTTTATTGCGGCACTATTCACAATAGCCAAGTTATGGAAACAGCCAAGATGCCCCACACTGATGAATGGATTAAGAAAATGTGGTATCTATACACAATGGAATTTTATGCAGCCATGAAGAAGAACGAAATGTTATCATTCGCTGGTAAATGGATGGAATTGGAGAACATCATTCTGAGTGAGGTTAGCCTGGCCCAAAAGACCAAAAATCGTATGTTCTCCCTCATTTGTGGACATTAGATCAAGGGCAAACACCAAGGGGATTGGACTTTGAGCACATGATAAAAGCGAGAGCACACAGGGAGGTGTGAGGATAGGTAAGACACCTAAAAAATTAGCTAGCATTTGTTGCCCTTAACGCAGAGAAACTAAAGCAGATACCTTAAAAGCAACTGAGGCCAATAGGAAAGGGGACCAGGAACTAGAGAAAAGGTTAGATCAAAATAATTAACCTAGAAGGTAACACACACGCACAGGAAATTAATGTGAGTCAACTCCCTGTATAGCTATCCTTATCTCAACCAGCAAAAACCTTGTTCCTTCCTATTATTGCTTATACTCTCTAACAAAATTAGAGATAAAGGCAAAATAGTTTCTGCTGTATCGAGGGGGTAGGGGGGAGAGGAAGAGGGTGGGGTGGGTGGTAAGGGAGGGGGTGGGGGCAGGGGGGAGAAATGATCCAAGCATTGTATGCACATATGAATAATAATAATAGTAATTAAAAAAACAAAACTGTACCATTCTTTTATTTTTAAAATCAGTTTTAAAGTTGTAAGAATATATACTTAGATTCTTAAAATTTCAAATATACAGTAGGGTAGTGTAAGGTACTGCTGAATAAAGACCATGCCACGTGTGGAAAGGAAAGGTTTATTGGTCCAGACCGCAGGGCGGTCACTCTTTTTGGGTTCAGATTGAGGCGGCTTGGCTGAAAATGGGTAGTGGGCTCTATAGGAGGGGCCAAACCATGGTGGAGGGAGAGAGTCTCTGGTCTCTGATTATCTGCGATCACCAGATGGAACAGGTCGACATGCCTGGCTAGTTGAGTAACTGGAAGTTCCTGAGTTTTGCAAGCCGAGAAAAAAATCAGGCAGGGAGAAACAAGTGGTCACAAATCAGGGGGTCTGGTTCTAAGGTGCTAGCCTTGGGTCCTTCTGCCGCTCCAAGAATGCCAGGGACCTAACAGGTAGAATGTGAAGGGCAATAAGTTCCTTTACCTTACCTTTTAGTCCTCTATAGCTACACAGTCCAGTAGCTACATGTGACTACTTAAATTAAAACTAAAATACTAAACACAATTCCTCACACTAGGTACATTGCAACTGATCCATCACAACCTTGACCAGAGTCTATCACACTGGAATGGAGATGAGGACCCTTTCATCATCACACAATGTTACTTTACAAGCTGCTCCATGGCAACCACAACCAAGCACTTGCATGAATATATGTATATATCTTTTTGTTATGAGTTACTTAAAATTCTAGATACAAGTCTCTTATCAGATACATGCTCTTTCAAAACTTTCCTCCCATTCTGGGGTTTTTTTCACTTTCCTAAAGGTGACTTTGAGGCACAAAAGTTTTTTCCTTTGTTGCTTGTGCTTTTGGAGTTACTCAGCCTAAGGTCATGTTTACTTCTGTTTTCTTCTAAGAGTTTTAGCGCTTATATTTAGGTCTATGATTCATTTTGAGTTAAAATTTGTCTGGAGTATGAGGAGATGTCCTTACTTGTGTGACTACCAGTTGTCCCAGTACCATATGTGGAAAAAGATTCCTCACTGAATGGTAGTGTTATCCTTGTGGAAAACCAACATTTTATGCTTATTTCTGGACTCTTAATTTCTTTAATTTGCATATCTATTCATGTGTCTACACTGTCTTGATTATTGTAGCTCTGTAGTTAAGTTTTAAAATTGGCAAGGCAAAGTTCAACCACTTTTTTTGTTTTGGCTTTTCTGGGTCCCATGCATTTCCACATAAATGTTGTATTTTATCACTAGCTTGTCAACTTCTGCAAAAAATCTGGTTTGGATTTTGATAGAAATTGTGTTGAAGGGGTGGGGGAATAGGGAGAATGGAGGGAATGAACCAAATCTGGGTACAATATATGTATATATGGAAATGTCACAAAAAACCCCCTGTATAAATAAAACGCTTTAAAAAATTTTTGAATCTGTAGATCACTTGGTCAGCATTGCCATTCTAACAATGCCAAGTCTTCCAATCCATGAACAAGCGGTAGAACATCTGCTTACTAAGTGTGAGGCTGAGTTGAAACCCCAATACCACCCAAAACAACCAAACAAAAACCTGGTGTATGTGTATTAATCTTGAATCCTAGAACACACTGAACTGAATTCAAATATGTATACTACATACAATGTCAACTCTGAATACATATGCCAGTTGAACATCCCTTACCAAAAATGCCTGAAATCACCAATGGCTCAGTAAATAAGAGAAAGGATGAACAAATGGGACTGCATCAAACTAAAAAGCTTCTGCACAGCAAAAGAAAAGTTACTAGACTTAAGGGATTGTTCACAGAATGGGAGAAAATCTTTGCCAGCTATAAATCCGGTTAGGGGCTAACATCCAGAAGCTACAGGGAGCTAAAAAAAAAAACAAAAACAAAAACCTCAACCCCCAAAGAATCAACAACCCAATGAAGAAATGGGCACATGAATAGGCAATTTTCAAAAGAAGAGGTACAAATGGCTAAAAAATACATGAAGTGCTCAACTTCCCTGGCCATAAAAAAAATTCAAGTCAAAACTACACTAATTTCATCCCACCCAAATTAAAATGGCTATCATCAAGAACACAAACAACAAATGTTGGTGAGGATGAGATTAAAGAGGAACTCTTATACACTGTTGATGGGAATGTAAATTAGTACAGCTATTATGGAAAGCAGTATGGAGAGTTCTTTAAAAACTAAAAATAAAGAACTGCCATATGATCCAGTGATACTGCTTCTGGACATATACCCAAAGGAAATATAAGTCAGGATACAAGAAAGACACTTGTACATCAATGTTTATTGCAACACTATTCACAATAGTCAAGATACGCAAACAACCCAGCTGCCATACAACTGATGAATGGATTAAGAAAATGTTACACACACACAATGGAGTGTGATTAGCCGTAAGGAAAAATGAACATAACTATTGTGAATAGTGACCATCAACTGTATATTAACTTAAATTTTTGGATGTTAAACCAACCTGTTCTTGGGATAAATCCCACTTGATCATGGTATATAATCCTCTTTATATTTTGCAGATTCAGCTTGATAGTGTTTTTTTAGTGATTTTTTGAGTTAGTATTCATAATGGATATTGATCTCAGGTTCCTTTTTTTGTATGATGTCTTTGGTTTTGGTGTCAGGTTAACAGTGGTTCATAGGATGAGCTGGGAAGTGTTGCTTTTTGGGAAGAGTTTGCTAATTGGGAACAGCTGGTGCTAATTTTAATGTTTGGTAGAATGCAGTAGTGAAATCATGGGGGACTGGGATTGTTTTTGTGAAACTTTTAGAAATCAACCTTTTTATTATCAGTTGTCAAGTTATTCCTACTTGTCTTTTAAGCCTGCTTTAGGGTATAACAAAAAGTGCTAAGGATATCTCCTAAGGCCAGAAAAGTTAAAAAAGAAATACATATTATCAAAGACAACAATTTCAATGTTTGAAGATTCAGATAAGCAGCAGTCAAAACCATCCAGTTTACATCTCTATTCTTAACCTCTGCTGTCTAGCTTTAAACATAAATATTTCATCACCTCATGTGGTTTCATAAGCATATGAACAAAAAATTTCAGCTTGTTCTATGTAAGATTTATATGCAAACCTGACCCTTGCAGCAAAGCCCTATAATCAAGAACTAAAATTTATACATTCTACAAGAAAATATGCAGATATAGATATCTATCTTTTGACTTGTCTACAAAAATAAAACCTGTCTCAGAACCTGTCTGGATGGCAGTAGGTAGTAGAACAATGGACTAGAAGTGTCTGGAAGTGTCAGCTATGGTGCCAACTCCAGCTTAGACAAGGTGCTCTATCTAGTTCTCCCAATAATAAAACTTGGTTAAGCCAGATGATCAAGAGGGTCCTTTCTGTACTAAAAATATGGCTTATTCTATAATAATGCAATCTCCATTGCTCTTACTTCTGAGTGGTCAAAATGAAAAAAAAATTTGTGGTGCTGGGGATATTTTTGTTATGTATACACACATGTACACTTCATTCTTTTTTTTTTTTTTTCCAGTGGTGGGGATACTAGCTTCACACATGCTAGGTAAGTGCTCTACCACTGAGCTACATTCTCAAATACCATATTTCATTCTTACAGAACTAAGCAATTCTCAGTCTTAAAAGAGAAAAAAAGAGTTAAGAGGAAGTCTGTGATTAAATATTATGATTACAACATCTCAAAGTCTTGAGCCTATGATGAATCAGTTGTTGAACATTTTCTTTCTATATATACATATTTGTCTTTTCACAATGCCTCATTTTATTCACATGAGGTAACCAGCAATTAGACTAATTTTCAAAAACAAGGTCACTTTTCAGAAATTCTGAGCCTATCAGAGAAACTGAATGGCATTTCATCAGTTGTCTCAACTGGCACGTTACTTCTACCAAACTGACATGAGTAGTGGTGGGTGGGATAACTTGAAATAAAGGCATTTGGAGTCCGGCTGCAATGACACCTGTCTGGTGGCATAACACTGTCTGAATTAGCAAGATGTGAATGGTAGACACCATGGAATGAGTCTTGAGATGAATGATAATGGCCTGCTACCCCTGAGGTGGGTGTGGTGCTGTGGTAAGGAGCATCTGACATAAGACACGTTGGAAAGCAAGTCTTTCTGCCCACACCTCGGTGCATGTCTAACTTAGCAATAAGAGGCTTTCCCACATTCACTTCCTGCTTCTCCTCCACTGTGTCTTCCAGTCCCAAGTACTGATAAGATAAACATACTGTGAAGATCAAATGTTCCTAAAAAGGCAAAGAAAAAAGTTTATCATTTTTATCAACTGTGAAAAAATATCTTAAAATATTACCCCCTCCCCCCAACTCTTTCCCAGGTTCCAAATCCTGAAGGCATTCTCTCCATCTCCCCTAAATCAAGCAATCTTCCTTTTCCTTCACTTAATACTCAGGAGTTGGTACAACAAGAGTTCTAAGGTTAAGTAATCAAAATCACAGAGAACTTATAGTCTTGATGTAGAGTGAAAAGGAGTTCCAAGCAGTGGGGCTTTGGAACCTTATCCTTCCCTATTACTGGAGATGGGATGTTCTTTAATATAAAAATGATCTGTCTTTACACCTATGTCAGAAGCTTAAGATATTTAAAACATATTATGAGGTAATAACTGAATCAGGTAGTGGCCTCTCTGAGAGAAAAGACTAAGTAGTTTGTCTAAGAACAAGTAACAACAGGTGTATGTTGTCCTCATGTAACTGTAAGGTGCCTATTTAATTCCAAGTTTTGGCTGCATTCTATGGTCAGGCAGCTATAAATAAGCTAAACATTCAATTTTTGCAAGAATATGCTTATATTAGAAAGTTTACCATGTGCAGTTAGCCTGTTTATGTTAACTAGAACTAAAAAATTACAAAGAAAGTCCAATTCTAATTTGCTCTATTTTGTAGAGCAAAAAGGAAATCATTATTTGAAAATACTAAGATATTTAAAAATAGAATATGCTCTATTTTTAAAACTTTTCAATAATATGGAGAAAAATTTTGATTTAATACCCAATAAGACATTTATAACTATGACACATTCAATACTCAGTTTCATATAGTTTTTCATTAGTAGCTATAATCAGGAAAAGTAGTAACCTTTAGTTTCTGCAGTGAACTGAGTCTAGTATAGAGGCAGTGCTTGGGAAGTTCCTTTGATACTAAATAGCTGCCAGTTTCTTCAGGAGTCCCTTTATTTGCATGTTTTGGATCAATATCTAGGTCCTGTTAAAAAAAAAATCAGTGAATGTTAATAATGAAACCAATAGAAGTCATGTTTATGACATAAACATTTTAATAGCTTTGCTCTCTCATGAGTTTCTACCTAAGTAGGTAATAATACCTTATCCATGACTAATGAAACATGAAAACAACATTCTATGGTCATAGTAGGAATTCTAAATTCTACACTAATACATTTAAAACATAAAGTTAGCTCTGAAAGGATAGTTTCTTTTTAAACTATTCCTTGAAACACTTTTTATCTACTCAAGTTTCCTTTTCAAGAAACTTGAGACCCATTAGTATTTGACTCCTGAATTCTTTCCATCTTTATTATTACTTTGAGAAGGTGTAGGGGGATTTTTATACTTAGCATATCTAAAGAATAAATAAGCGAGCTAAAGTTTGCACTTTCCTTTTTCTTCTTTTAGAGTCAAGCCACCTTTGAAGGACAAAGAGGTGTTCAGCTCCTCAAAGGGAAGCACATGGATGCTTCCAGGGTGGCCTACCCTGTGCAGTGCTGCTGTGATGGGGGACAGGGCAAGCCTGCCTGCTTCTGTTCTGTGCTACATCATTTCCTCTCACAAAGCAATACCCTTGATGAAACCGCTGTAAGTAATAAAAGTGATTTTTTCTTTGTTCTTGCTCAATTTGTCAAATTGTCTATAAGAAGGGGACTATTTATTGGATTCTTTAGACCAAGACAAAATAAATACAATAAATAAATGTTTGGAAAGAACAGAACTAGATTTACGTTCTTCCAATATGCTATCATAACTTGACAAGCAAGTCCATTGTTATATTAACTTATATTGGAAATAATCTTTAAAAGATAATTACTCTTGACATAGGAATAGTGAGTATATTTTCTTCTTTCACATCTGATATCCTATTTAGGGAACTTTAGACATTTATAAATTTGGCAAATTTAAGGTATTTTGGGAATTATTAAATATGATTGGTGTTACTAAACTACAAAGAAACATTATATATATATATATATATATACACACATATATATACACACACACACTCATATAAATGTTTCCTTTATATTTATCATCAACTTCAAATTTTTACACATTTAGGTAATTTTTTTTTTTTTGTGGAGCTAGAGATGGAACCCAGGACCACACCGGTGCTGGGCAAGTGGTCTACGACTGGGTTAACATCCTCAGCTCAAAAGATCAGTCTTTAATAAGTAAGAACATATCACTGTGTCTTAAATAAAAGAAAAAAAGAGAGACTTACAAGTGGGAAATCGGTAACATAAGCATCACACATTATTATCTCAGGTGGTTTGTGGACTATACTTGTATAGATTATCATGACATTGGAAAACTCTGCTGCAAATCCTAATTGAATCTGAACACCACATTGAAATTTAAGACACATACTTTCTGGAAGTTCTGGAAAATAGCAATAAGAACAACTTATAAAAATTTATATGAAGAGTGGCTGGTAAATTTTCTGATAAACAGCAAATATCCTATATGAGGCAGAATATGTTTATAGCCTTTCTTTTGCTTAAAAACCTTTTCTGCTGACTAAACAAATCAAATCTTTCCTCTACTACAGTTTCTGTTCATCTGCATATATATTTGTAGTGGTAATCAAAAACATACAAGTATTTCACTGATACCTCAATCTTTATTGACAGACTAACAGTTATTTTTTTTTGGTGGTGCTGGGATTGAAACCCAGGCAGGGCCTTGTGCATTCTAAGCAAGTGCTCTGCTGCTCTGCTACTAAGTTACATCCTAGTACCATATTATAATTTTTTTTTTTTTTTTACAGCAGTGGGATTTGAACTCTTATGCTTGAGTTACTCCACCATGATGTAATTTTGTAATAAATCATACTGTCATCAAATCACCACACAATAATGTTAATTTTAATCATTCTACTACTCTTGAATAGCTGTATTATTCCTGGATCTTACTGTTTTTCTATCAGTCAATATTTCTTAAATGTATCTAATGCTTCTAGGATTGTTGAACAGAGATATTTGATGGTTCCTTACATACAAGACAAACTGTTTTCAATTTACATGGAATATAAATATGTAGTTTCATTATGGCAGTTCCAAAAGAAGGAAAATTTGTAAAATGTTTGTCTATTTGATGCAATAAAAAAGAAATATACTAGTTAACTTTCTTTAATGACTATTTACATTTGCTATTTCCTTCTTAATTATAAATACATTTCTGTGAGAATTACTGAACTTGCACCATTTGTATATTTAGTGAGAAAAAAACCTCCTTGGCTGGATGCAGGTGGTTCTCCCTATAATTCTAGTGACTTTGGAGGCTGTGCTTGGGAGGATCATAGTTCAAGGCCAGTCTGGGCAAATAGTTTTCGAGACCCCATCTTCAAAGTCAGTGAAGGCGTGGCTCAAGTGGTAGAGCACCTGCTCTGCAAGCACGAAATCCTGAGTTCAAACCCCAATCTCACCAAGAAAATAAAACAACAAAAAAAACCAAGCTTACCTACTTATTAAATTTGTTACAAATACCTTCTATTTGACCTTTTAGTCCCCTACCCATCCCAGAGAGATGGGGTCTCACCGAACTTGAGATCCTCTTGCTTCAGCCTCCTAAGTGCCAGGATTTCAGATATGCACCACCACGTTTCATTTTAAAAAAGGTTTTGCTTACTGTTGATCTTTATTCTTTTATCTTATTTTGTGGTGCTGGAAATATACTAGGGCCTTATGCATGTTAGGTAGAGACATGCTCTACCTAAACATACCGAGCTATGTCTCCAAGCCCTTACTGTTAATCCTTATCCCATTACAATTTTACTTTTTTGTTTAGATTTCTTTTGCAGAAAAGACATTCAATTTCAATTATTTTGTAATTATCTGGAATGCCAAGATAATATATCTACAGCACTTTAACTTTTAACGTGTTCTAACATGTTAGTTTACCAAAAATATATCCAAAGAACAACAAAGTATTATAAAAAGATACCTTATAGGAGTTCAATAAATACAATTATTTTGAAATTATTTCTAATAAGCTTTTCACAGAATAGATATTTGGGGACTTATAGACAATCCAAAATCTTTTCACTAAATCATGGAGAATTACCACAAAGTAATTAAGCTACCAGTATGATTTTTCACTTCATCTTCTTTTGTTATCCCCCACCCACTGATCAAGTGTCACACAGAGAATGACAGTAACGTTTACGAGCCATGCTCATCTCCACAGGTGAGCTCTTAATCTCAGTAATCCTACAGACAACAAGTTTACAATTTGCTAAATTGGGGTCAGAGCCTAGACCTGACTCTCCACAGCTGCACACTTCAACAGTGACAGTACAGGAGAAGACAAAGGACTGCATACTAGACAAATAAAAATTCACTCATTTGAAAAACAGAAGAATTAAACATCACTTAAATTTTACCAACGGTATAAACAATGGGCTAAAAAGTTTGACATTTCTAACATTAAACAAATCAGTATAATATCTACAATTGAAACATTTGCTTAGTTTTGGATTTGCCTACAATGCCAAGACCTTTTCACTCTAAATTGGGCAGAGGGCTATTATTTAGGATTGAAAATAAGTTTATGGGAGAAAGATCTCAGAAGAAAGACTTTACCATACCATGTGCCTTGGCCCACTGCAGATTCCGCACCAGAGATTCTGCAGAACAAGCTGTCCCCTGAATTGGATCAGTGAGTGCTCTCTTTTCAGACAAACTGCTTCGAATCTCTAGAGCCTGTCTGCCTTTGGTAAGGTGACATTTACCCATATCTAAAAAATAAGAAATATTACTTTTAAGACTTCAATTTTTTCTCATGTTTTAAATATTTAGGCCAAGAACATGCTTATAAATAAGGTTATACTCTCAAAATAATCTATTAACAATACTTACTAAACACCTACTATGTGCCATGCACAGCTCAAGGTGCTGGTGATACGGTAGTGAGCAAACATATGAAAATATCACACCAGTTCCTAAGAGATGAAAGCATGTTTCTTTTCTAAAAGGATATAGTCATAATTCTATGTCCATACTGTGTCAAGAAGTACATTCACTAGGGGGCAGACATGGGTAATGGCTGTAATTCTGGCTATTCAGAGGCAGAGGTCAGATCATGGTTCGAGGACAGCCTGAGCAAAAAGTTAGCAAGATCCCCATCTCACCCAACAAGCCAGGTGTTGTGGTGTGTGCCTGTCATCCCAGCTATGCAGGTGTAAATAGGAGGATTGCAGTCCAGGTTGGCCTGGGCAAGACACTGTCTGAAAAATAACTAAAGCAAAAAGGGCTGGATATGTTGCTCAAGTGATAGAGTATCTGTCTAGCAAGCGTGACGCCCTAGTTAGAAAAACAAATGATTGCCTCTGTATGAGAAAATTAAGACAACATGCTACATTTAGTTTATTTTTAATTTTTGGTGGTACTGAGCTTTGAACTCGGTGCCTTGCACTGGCTGGGCAAGTGCTCTACCACTTGACTACCCCCCAGTCCTAGATGTCTTTATTTTTAAAACAGGAAATAATGTGTTAAAACCACCTGTCTGGCCAAAGCACCGTCGCCTCCTTTCTTTCACTTTGCAGTAACCATTACCCAAAGTAGCATGTATATTCCCAGCATGATTTTATTTTTACTCGTGTAAGTATTTGTAAAGCACATACCAATGTCTTAGGTTTTGGACTTAACAGAAATATTATAACCATGTTTTTGTAATGTAATATTTTCATACAACACATTTTAGTTACAGATTTTTGTACACTGACAAAACTTCATATTTTTGGTTTGAATAAATTAGCTTATTTATCCTACTTCTATATATTATTAATAATGTAAAAATGAAGTTAAGCCAGGTAAAGTGGCAGGTGCCTGTAGTGCCAGCTACTTGGAGGCTGCATAAAGCATAATTTCTTTTTATAAAGTTAAACAATCTGAACACAAATACAGATACTTTTTGGGAACATATATAAACTCAATGAAACAACTTAAGAAGAATATTGAGGGAATTATCAAGAAAATTCAGAACAGTGGTTATTACAAAAGTGGGACCAGGGAAGAGACAGGATGCATAATTAGACACAGGTTACTAGTGAAGTCCTGGGTTTATACTGAACACCCATTTACAATAAAAACTCTCAGAAGTACTTTCATGGATACTTTTGTTTCTAGAAATAATTAACTCACTAAATATTTTCTGCTAGCAGATCCATGAGTTTATATAGCAAGATGTTTTTCTGGCACCTGAAAACCATACTGACACACTAAATTAGTAAGCACTCATTTTGCCATTTTAGTCAACTTAATAAGGTCTTGAATAGTTTAAAAAAAAAAGAAAAGAAAAAAAATCTATGGCTGTAGCCTGACAACAGTAGCTTATCACAACAAGGAATTACTTCATAATTTGTTAGCACAGTTAAAATTGGCAAGTTTTTTTTTTCTTCCCCTTCAACTGCTTGGTTTATACTTCCCCCCTTATCCCCAATATATGTTTTAATTTTACAGCTCTATATAGCTCACTATATAGCTCAGGCTGTCCTAGAACTCACTATGCAGCCCAGACTGACCTCAAACTCCTGATCCTCCTGCTCCCATGTCCTAAGTACTGGGATTATAGGCATGTACCACCAAGCCCAGCTTCTCTGAATATTTTTAACTAATCTAGAAGATGCAAAGGGAGGAGCAGAAATGTTTTTATTTCAAAGTTGGATGACTTGTGAACAATTTGTTACCACTACTACTTTTGCTTCTCACTACCAAACAAAAAAGGTCAGAAATAAAACACCCAAGACTCAAAATAAATGCTATATTTAACTATATTGTATTATCATAATTCTATCAAGCCTTTACTTATTTTGTATAACTGGTTGGCTATTACCCATGATGTGAACAATGTGCATGGCAATGAATTAAGTGTGATACATATATACTGTAGTTTTGTAATTGCTTAGGCAATTTTAATTAAGAAGACATGGCAGGTCTGAAAACGATCAGAAAAAAACAAAACTTTCCATTAAGTTTATATGAAGTTCAGATATACTAACAACACACACTAGGATGCCATTTATTGCTGTGGCAAACTGGTAGATTTATCAGTGAGCATGGTATTTTTTAGGTTTTAAAGTAGTTAAAACATACTTTAAAATGAAATTAAAACAGTTTAGAGGTTCTGAAGCACCTTAGTGGACCTCAGTTTAAAAGTAACTGTCACAATCCAAGGGTTTTACTTATTTTAAAGCAGTAGGACCTTTTCTTCAAATGAAAGCTTAAAGGGAAGCCCAATATGCAAAACAAGATAAAAGCAGAACTTCTGGCTGAACCAAGGGTGGGAGGAAGTCCAAAGCCCTGGCTATGTTAAATAGGAAAGTGGTTAAGTCATGTGGCCTAGCTAAAACATCTACACTGATAAAAACATGAAAATAAATATAACAACTGTTAGTGAAATATTCTTATAATCTCTGGATCATCCATGAAACTCCATTTTCTAGTATTTGTAGTTTGCAAGAGTTACCTTCCTTTTGGTCTGGCTTATAAAAGTGCACTTCAAAAAACACGTTGCAGTGTACAGATGCAACAAGTATTCACTGGGCCGGGACATGGGCATCAGTACTGTACCAGCAGGCAGAGAAGATGACAAAAAGTCAAGGAGGACATGGTGTTAGAGCTCTAGGATCATGTTCTTAAAGCAAGATTTGAAAACTACTACATTCATCAAGAAAAGAATGACCTTGGTTTTTTCCAGCAGGGTGTCAAAGAAACTGCTCACTGGACTTTTTTCCCCCCAAACAAGCAGACTGGCAGCAGCAAGGCACTAGGCATAGAAACAAGGTAGAGCTCTGAGGATTAAACTTTATTTCACCACTGTGTCTGGGGTCAGCCCTGTCACCTAAGTGATGCTGCACAGATGGTATTCAGCTAAGTCAGCAGGGGAAGAAGGAAGGAATGAAATAGCAGAAGGGGTGTTGCACATTACATTAAAAATTGCTGTATAAAATAAAATGTTGATTCCCAATCTACACAGTACCAGTAAGAATAAAGCAATCACCAACAGTAACTACTGCGTAGGCTTGTCTTCCCCTCTCTAAAAAACTTCACCTTCTGCAACTTCATCTAGTAACACAGTAATTTTCTTGTCTTCTAATAATCTATCTTTTAAAAATTTCATGAAGATTCCATTTGCCAGTCCAGAATGCTGGATTTCAAATGCTTCTGCTCCTTGACACCTTAAAAACACCAAGAGAAATCAGTGGAGTAAGTCAGGCACAGAGAAACAAATGCTGCAGGTTCTTTCTTACATGTGGAAGGTAAAAAAATCAAATACATAGGAGCAGAAGGCAGAATGGTGGTAACTAGAAGCCAAGAAGTACAGGGAGAGGAGAGATGCTGGTCAAAGGGCAAAGTGCTTCTGTTAAACAGGAGTAAATACCTAAGGCGATGGATACATTAATTAGCTTGATTCTGTCATTTCACACTGTATACATTTCATCACTTTGTGCTCCATAAATACATACACTTATAATTTGTCAATATCCAATATCCAATAAAAATGTTAGGTGTTTCTGTTTTGTTTTTTTATTTGAGGTACTGAGGTTTAAATTCAGGGCCTATACACCTTAAGCCACTGTGCCAGCCTGGTTTTTTGAGTTGGGTATTTTCAAGATAGGGTCTTGTCAACTCTGCTGTGCTGGGTTCAAACTGTGGTCCTCCTGATCTCTGCCTCTTGAGTAGTTAAGATTACAGGTGTGAGCCACCAGCACCCAGGAAATAGAAGCTTTTTAAAAAGAGATTTTTAGGACTGGAGGTGTGGCTTAAATGGTAGAGCACCTGCCTAGCAAGTGTGAGGCTGAGTTCAAACTCGAGTAAAGCTAAAAAAAAATAGATTTGGAAGAAGCAAACACTGAGATGTCCACACACAATGATGACCTCATTCTCTCCTCTGCCCTTTGAATGACATTCCTAATTTAAGAGTTAATCTTTAAGCAGGAACAAAATGCATTGGTGTTTAGTGATAAGATACCAAGAAGTGCTAAAGTCAATTATTGAAAGCTTTCTATCAAGAACATCAAGGAGTCAATTTATGCCTAGATGTCTATGGATACTTCTATGTCTCCAATCTAACATCAAAGGATGAAGGAGTCTCAACATAAAAGTTTTCTTACGTGGCATATCCAAACACAATATTGGCAGTGACTTTTAGTGCATCCAAGATTGGAATGGTATCATCATAGTCATTTCTATTGAAAAGTGGGGGAAGGAGAGAAGGGCAGATAAAAATGTGAAAAGTTAAACAACATTCTTCAAAGAAAATAATTACAAATATAGTACCATCTTAGTATACATAATTAAAATTACAGACTCAAAATTCTTTCATCTAGTCAGTAACACATCTACCAAAAATGATCCAGGGCTCCTTATAAACAATCATATCTTTCATTAATATTATTATTATTTTTTTGAGACAGGATATTGCTATGCAGTTCAGGCTGACCTCGAACTTGAGATCTTCTTGCCTCAGTCTCTAGATGCAGGTATACATATGTGCACCAACATGCCTGGCTTTTTTGTAAGCTTTAAAATTGAAATTGCATTTGAGCTCTGGCATTGGATTTTGATTAGTAAATGCTTAGCAAGCAAAAAATAGTAAACCTGCAAGGAATTATCACTGGTTCTCCTTCTTAGGGATGCAATGGCAGATACATGGGAACTAAGACTTTAAACATACACTTTCAACATTTGCAGGACCAGGAAAGACTAGTTAGTGTTCACATGCCCTAACTATGGGTGTGATTTTGTTAATTCCTGAAGGAATAACTGCAGTGACAGGAGACATGTATAGGCATGCAGAAGAGTGACTCCTTATAGTATGAGTAGATACCTTGTGTTTTAGTTCTTTTGTTCTACAGCAACCAGGAAAAGAGTTAAAAAAAAAATTGGGTATCCATAGTCAAAATATATTTTCCTCTAGTCTGCTTTCAGTTTCAATGTATAATCAGAAATTTATAAACTCAAATGGCTCTTAGCATCTCGCAGGTTTGCCTTAGGTTTAATTTGTTCAATAAAGATGAGAAATTTTACCTTTTCCTACACATGTCCAACAAGAACACATTGAGTCCAGTTTCTTTTTCTTGCATTAATTTCAGTATACTTTGTACACACAGACAATTTTCAGACCTATATGGATTTGGAGCATCAACAGGAACCATGAAGCTGTTCCCAAAATTTTCATAACCATGTCCAGCATAATATAATAACCCTAGAGAGAGAGAGAGAGAGTAGATTTGAACTCTAAATGTACTCTGAACATGTAGATAATACACACATATAAAAATAAGACATTTTCTTCAGGCTGATGCATGCAATTTAAGAAATAACCAACTGTAAATATAGTCAATACTGATTTGCATTTTAAATTATTCTGGCAATAGTCAACACTGTGCTTTTGTTGTTGTTGCTTTTTTTGGTACTGGGATTTGAACTCAGGGCCTTGTACTTGCTATCCAGTGCTCTACTACTTGAGCCATACCCTCAGCCCTTAAATTCTGCATTTTAAAACAAAATCAAGCTGGAGATATGGCTTACGAGGTAGAGTACCTGCCTAGCAAGCTTGAAGCACTGAGTTCAAAAGCCAGCACTGCTAAAAACAAAAATCAAGATGCTATATGAAGTAGAATCTAATTCATAAAAGTAATGCATTTATAATTAAAGGTATACTACAGAAAATAATTTTGTCATGATATATAAAAAAGAAGGCAGCTAGGACTTATTTCCTCTATGAGGCTAGGATCTCCTTCAGGGCATGGACAGTCTTACATTTACACATGTATTCCTGTCAAGGGGAAGGAGCTTAGTAAATATTTCAACAGATGAACAAGCTAACATAATTAGAGATGCTCAGTATCATTCACTTCTAGTAAATCCAAACAACAATAAGATACCATTTCACACTTACTAGCATGGCTATAATAAACAACAATAACAAGCATTAGTAATGAAGTAAAGAAATTAGAACATTCATTCATTCCTGGAAGGAATATAATATGATTTAAGAACTTTGGAAAGAAAGAGTTTAGCTGTTCCTCAAGAAGTTAAAATAGAATTCTACACGCCTCAAACCAACTCCACTCCCAGGAATACACCCAAGAGAGCTGAAAGCTTAAGTCCACACCAAAATGAACATAAAAATGCTTTCAGCAGCATTATTCATAATATCCCAGTAGTGAAAACAACCCAAAAGTCCATGTGTTGATGAACAAAATACGGTATATTCATAAAATGGAATATTTTTCAGCCCTAAAATAAAAAGGTCTGATAAATGCTACAATATGAATGAACTTGAAAACATTATGCTCAATCTAAGAAGCCAGATAAAAAAGGCTATAATGCCGAATGATTCCATTTATATGAAATATCCAGAATAAGCAAGGCTGGACGACAGAAAGTAGATTTGTGGTGGCCAAGGGCTAGGGTAAAGAGGAATGGGAGTGACTGCAAGGGGGTATGGGTTTATTTCTGGAATAATGAAAATGAGGTCAAGTAATTGTGTCCTATGTATAACTTTAGGAATATACTGACCCACTGGATTACACACTTCAAAAGAGTAAGATTTATACTTTTAATCAAGTTCTCAAAACTGTAGGAAAACTATTTCCTACAGTTCCACTGCTTTTAGAGCAAGAAAACCTTTTTGGGGGGCACTACTGGAGTTTGAACTCAGAACCCAGAGCTTGCTAGGCAGGCACTCAACCACTGAAGCCAAGCTTCCATTCCATTTTTTACTTAAGTTATATTTGCAGGTAGGGTCTCTCTTTTAGGGGGCGGGGCAGTACTGGGACTTGAACTAAGGACTTCTCATTTATAAGGCAGGCAATTCTACAGTTTGAGCCATGCCTCTAGCCCTTTGTGCTTTGGTTATTTTGGAGATAGGGTCTTGCTTTTCGTCCAGGCCATCCTGGACTGCAATCCTCCTATCTTATGCTTACTGCTGTCACTGGAATGACAAGCACATGCTACCATGTCCAGGCTGGCCTGGAACCACAGTTCTCCTGATCTTAGCCTCCACAAGCTTGGGATGACAAGTGCTCAGCCATTAGTCAAGATGGGCCGTGCTAACTCTTCACCAGGGCCGGCCTTGAACTTTGCACCTCGTGTTCTTTGCCCTTTGAGAAGCTGGGATTGTAGATACAAGTCAGCATGCCCAGCTAGCACAAGCTTATTGGTTTTTTTTACAGTTTTTAAAATTAGCATATATTAGTTGTAGTGGTGAAGTTCATTATGACATTTACATATATTCTTACAATGTATCTTAATTAGATTCACCCCCTTCAACAGGTTCCACTGTTCCAATTTCTCACACAGGTATATGAGATACATCTACCATTCATATCTCTTCCCTCCCCCTCTCTGTTTACTTCCTGTCCTTCATTTTTTTTTTTTTTTTAGCTGTATTTTGATTGTTCAAGGGGATTTCACCTTGGTATTTCAGATACTTTACTCAGATTAACCCCCTGTGTTATTTATTCTTCCTCTATTTCCCTGCTCCCCTATTTCTCAACTTCCAATGCATTTCATTATAGTATCTTCATATACACAGACAAGATTATGTTTAAGCTCTATGACTTTGCTCAAGTGACTCTTCTATTTTACCAAATCTTAATTGCCTCAAGGATTATTTTGAGACTTCTGGAGCACTTACTATATGCCAGGTACAACCCAAGAAAGCACTTCAGTTAGGTGACTGCATATCATCCCCTTTTTACATATGTAAGAACTTGAGACATTGAGAAGTTTAAATGCTCACTCAAATTCCAATGACAAGTAAGTGACAGAACCAGAATACAGATGGATACAGGCCATCTTAACCACTGGTAAGTGGTAATATTGTTTCTATTACATAGTGCTGGTATTTCATTGTTTATACTATGTTATAGCTCTAAAATTCCTGTTTTTTTTTTTTTTTTTAAAGAAACCTCAGACAGACTCTTAATACATAAAACCTGATGAAAGCTGGGCTTCTCTATCAAGACACCTAGTGCAAATCCCCAATTTAAAGATAATGGACAGCTTGAATGCCTTCAATAAATTTAAAACTACAAAATAAAAAACAGTAATAATGGCTATAGGCTATAACAATAAGCACACTGAATGTGCCAATGGGTAATTACTTTATCTTCTCCTGTAACAACCTCATTAATTTAGTTCTGTCCATTTTACAGACTGCTTTTGTCTTAGAAAAGTTAAATAATCAGTTACACAACTAGTGACAGAAAAGCCAAAGCCTCGGACCTGCCTGGGGGAACTCACTCTGAAGTGAAAGACTAACTCCTCCAGGGTGAGGAGGCGTTTGTCACATTCTAACCAGACTCCTTTAATACTCTTACCCACAAAGGCACAGCTCAGCAGCAGTCAGTGATGAACACAGAAAGTATTAGGAAGGGCGGATGGCATGCTGAACAGTTACTCTTTATCTGAAAATAACTAGAAATCTTTACCCTCATTTATTATCGAGGACATATAAGTCAATTATTTCTGTTTTTGATTCTTGTTTTTTTGTGTTTCAAAGTGAACTACTCATTTTTCTGTTTCATTTTAACTTTTACATCTTTTACAAACCCACGGGCAATATAATATAGAGGCATAAACTTGAGCATGTATGTTTTCCAGATTTAAAGTTGTCTATGCCAAAATTCCTAATACTCTGCCTTTGCTTTCTCTCCAGCCCTCAAATCCCATTAGTTGACTGGGAATATCAACTAGTGGCAAAGGCATGGTCCAAAAGAGAAATGGAGGCTTTCTTTACAACATGCCCTACACCCTCGAGCCTTTACCACACTTACATTTAAAGTAGATGTGTCTGATGTTTTGGATAGTCACAATACTTCAAAATATAATGCAGCCACCCTGTTAAGACATGAATCAGTAGGATTTAAAAACTTTCTACCTTTCTTAAGCCGCCATTTTGCTCTAATATGCCTCTTTATTGTGTACAAGATGATGCGTCTTTGGCTTAAACTGGACTCCTGCCCCATCCTTTTATGTTTCTGATTCTCTATTATGTAAAATTAAAATTTCTGATTTAAACAGGCTTTCAGATTAAAAAGCTAAGATGACAATGTCAGCAAGAAATAATAAAATACATAACTATTCATATAATTCCCTTACTCTTTAGATCTTTTACCAACTCAAACATCTAAATTCATCAGTTTTTTTTTTTGGTGGTACTGGGGTTTGAACTATGACTCATGCTTGCTAGGCAGGTGCTCTACCATTTGAGACACATTCCCAATCTTTTTTGCTTTAGTTATTTTTTTCAGGTAGGGTCTTGTACTTTTTTCCCCAGGGCTGGTTCAGACCACTAACTTTCTACCTGAGTAGCTGTGAAACACCATGCCCGGCTTGTTTGCTGAGTTGGGGATCTCACCAACTTTTTGCCTGGGCTGAGCTTGATCCTTGTTCCTTCTGCTCTCTGCCCGTGAGTAGCTGGGATTATAGGCATGTACCAGCATGCTTGGCCCTATTTTCTTCTTATACCTCATTGCTTCCAGTGAATTTTTGGAAGCCTTTTCTGTTTAAGCAGACAGGTACCCTAAAAACTGAGATAAATTATATAATATAAATATACTCAAGCCACCTGATTCTAGCTTTTTCTTTTATTTTTGGCAGTACTGGGGTTTGAACTCGGGGCCTCACGCTTGCTAGATAGATACACTTACCGCTTGAGCCACTCTGCCAGCCCAAGCCACCTGATTCTAGAATGCAATGTTCCCAAGAGGGTGTATTTATATAATAGATTCTTTCCTATTTTCATAGTAAAAGTGGATGGATGCACCATTAGTCATAACTCCATAAGGTTCATAAGAAAAGTTCTATTATTACAACATCAGCATGATAGTTGAAATGGCAAATGTGAGGTGGTTACTTTGCTAATTTCATTTGTGTTGCCATAGTAATCCTCATTATGGAGAAGGAAACTCATTTAAATAAGATTTTAGCCTTTTCCCCATTCCTTATACAATACTGTATTAAATCTTGGAAAAAAAACATTTTTTTGTTCCTTTAGAAATTCTACCTTGAGAACCACTAGAATTTCTACCAAGTTTGTCTCATCATATCAATCTAATTATTAATAAAACAGTTAAATTCAGGAAAAGCTAATTTATGAATTATTTAAAGTAAAATAATCTGAAACATATACAAGTCAACAGATACTTTCTGTTTATCACTGGCAGGCCTGACAATGGGCCTGAGATGTCACTTTCCTGGCAGTCAAATGTTATTGCACGGTCCTGGTAAGCACAGCCCTGTGAAATACAGTGCAAATGAGCTCAAGACCTGGTCTTCCCATATTTGAAGTTATACATGTTATAAGAAATAAATTACCATAAATTACCAAAGAAATTACCACCAGCATATTCTGCCTCTTAAAATTCTTTATCAGACATGCAGTCTTCTTAATACTTTAAGTGAAAAAACAGGAAAAACCATTAAAATTTACTTGTAAATGGGTCGGGCATATAGCTCACTGGTAGAGCGCTTGCCTGTCATGTGCGAGTTCAATCCCCAGCACCGAAAACAAACAAAAAAATGCTTTTGTATGACTCATTCATTAAGATTTCCTTGTTAAATTCTGGTTCCAAGCTGGGAACATGGCTCAAGTGGTGGAGTACTTATTTAACAAGCATGAGGACCTGAGTTCAAACCATCAAAGGAAAAAAAAATCTAGTTCCTATTAAAAACTAGAGTCAGGACTTTTTATATTTAAAAGAATTAGGTTAACGTCTTTCATATTAAACAAAAATCCCCCACCCAGTGCATTTTGCATGTGTAAATTTACATTTTACTATTTGGTCATCAAGATTTATTATACAGTAAGTCTCACAGTCAATAAAAAGTCAATAAAAGGTGAAAGATAGGTAAGAATTCTAATAACAATGTTTAGACAAAACAAGAAACAAAAGTAAAGTCACTTATTTACTATTATTCACTTGAATAATTCACTATTCAAACTTGAATAATTTGAAGATCAAACTTATTTTTTTTTGTAAGAAAAATAAAACTCTTTAACAATGAGTTTATCTTACCTTTATCTGATTTTCAACCCTTAACCTAACTTGTACAATGAGAATGGTAATTATAAAAATGAAGATTAGAAATATCTCACCATATACTCCTTTGTCTAAAAGTAGTAAAAACTCATCAACAGCGTTACACATCTCATATTCAGTAAGATCCAACAATGAAACAACTTTGAAATTGAGCTGTCTTAGTAAGTTGGTCAATTCATACACATCCACCAAAGGAGCTTTCAGCTTGGGGTGCTCCCAGTAATTCATATTTCCTATCAAAAGAGCAACCTTGTCCTTTGCTGTAAAAAAGAGAAGAGATTAAAGGAGGATATAAAGATTAAGTAGAAATGATACCATTATAATGCAAATTTTTGCTTTAAGACTGCATTATTTCATTTTAAATTAGTTTTCATTGCTACTAAATTTCATTTTAAAACCATTACTTTATATAGGAGACCAATATACTGTGCTGAATACAACAGGTTAAAACACAGAACAACTAAAATTAAACTTATGGATGCATTTGAGAACCAGGCACAAGATATTTATCAGCTAATATGTAAAGCATAATGGTAATTAATATTAAAACATACTTTTATTGAACTGTAACAAAACTAAAGAACATAATATTCAAGTAGAGTTTTAGACGAAATTTAAAACAAAGAATGTTCAAAATGTGTTTCCATAAAATTAGGTTGTTTCGCTGAGAGTGGGAGAGGTAAAACAGAAGAAATACTCAAAAGAGGGGCTGAAGAGGTCACATCAGAGCAAGTGAGTAGGGAAAGCAGGAACGTCACAAGAACCATATTCTTTGTTTCTGTAGTACATGAACTGTTTCCTAACTTCTTAAAAAATACTTGTTTGGGATAGGCTGCTTGAGGGGTATGTGATGACGATATGAGTGTCATTTAATAGTTCATTTTCTGAACTTACTGCACTGAGACTTTTCTCAAAGAGTGGGTTCTGATAGAAACAGGTTTTTGGGGAACAGATTAAAAGATCTGTACCTATGCCTTAAAAACTACCAGCCAGCTTAATCAGCTATGTGGCCTGTCCTGAATAGTCATGAATAGTTGCAGCTTACTGCTTCAACACTGTACCTGTCTTTCAGGGTCTGGAGTGGGGCCAGGCCTGTAAACAAACTTACTGCACTGCCCATTGTATAAAATTATAGTGCACTCAGTTACACACAGCACACAATACTTGACCATGATGATAAAAGACTACGTTCCTGGTTTATTTACTATACTTTCAATTTTAATTTTAATTTTTGATGGGACTGCGGTTTGAACTCAGGGTTTTGCACTTGCAAAGCAGGTGCTCTATCGCTTGAGCCACACCACCAGTTCATGTTGCGTTGGTTATTTTGGAAATGGGTTCTCCAGAACTATTATGCCTGGGCTGGCCTTGACGGTGATCCTCCCTATCTCAGCCTTCCAAGTAGCTACGATTATAGGCATGAGCCACTGGTGCCTGGCTTCATTGTTATTTTAAAAACTTTTAAATTAATCTTTGATATTGTAAAGTATATGCTTCGTACTTATAAGAAAGAAACTAACTGTACAATAGTATGGTGTGTTATGCTAGCAGTAGCCTCATACATCTTGTGTTTGCTGTATTTCTTGAACACATTGAGGCCATATTGAGTAATTGACCTATATGACCTAACAGTAGATTTCTCAAAATGTATCCCTACCATTAAATGATGCATGACTGTATTTAGGAAAGAAAGCACATTTTACAAAATGCAAGAGTTCAACATTTTAAGAACTATGTATTAAAACATATGTATCAATAACTGTCTGTAATACTTGTAAGATTTTTTTCCCCAATGGCAATTTTTTTTTAAGCCACTTCCTAAGCTGTCTTACAGAGCACTTCCTTAAATGTAATGGTAAGAAAGGCAGAGGGTAAGTAAATCTTACCTTGCTCAATCTACTTGTGGATCAATTCCTGGGCCACAGGAGAATGGGGTGAAATGAGAATGGAAAAGCAGAGGCTGTAGCTGAAATAAGATGACAAAGACCCATTCCAGGAAATTGGTTGTAGAAAGGGAAAGTTATATTTTAGAGATAGGACAGAGAAAGGAAGAGTAAAATCTTCATTTGAGGAGATAAGAGAAAAGAATAAAGAAAACATCAAAAAGTTAGCTAAATAAGCAATTTATGATGGCTTTCAGGTGATAAATGCAAGAAATTTTCTATGAAAACATTTACTATAAGAGCCACCCACAAGTTTTTGAACACTAACCATTTATTTGAAAAAGTAAACGTAAGGTTGGGAGTGTAGCTTAGTGGTAGAACCCATAGTAAGCATGTGTGAGGCCCTGGGTTTGATTCCCAGTATCCAAAATAAAAAAAGGAAATAGTTGATTTGCAAAAGAATAATAATGATACTTTAGAAATACAGTTTAACTACATGTTCCCAGATATCTTCGGGAATTTAATACAATGGATTCTTCAAAAATTGATACAATGTTATATATACCAATACTGAGTTAATAATAAAATATTATTTCGTTATTATTATTTTAATAATAACTTAACTATGTTACTTATCCAAAGTGAGTTCATATTCCCTAACACCTAGAAAAGGGCCTGACACATTGTTACTCTTTGTTAAATAAAAAGCCTTTGGATTTTTGGATACCCATGAAATTTGAGTATTAGCACCAAATCTGATTGGCTGAATATATAATGCTTGTTATTTTCTAATTTTTTTTTCGGGCAGACTGGGGATTTCTCTGCATCCTAATAAAATAAGGTCCTAATTCCTCAGTTTGGGATACAGGGCCATTCACATTCTAGTCTATGCTTACCTGTCCAGCTGCAGTAACAGCAGGCCCCTGAGAAGCTATGGTATTCTTGCCCTTGTGTGGTACAGTCAGCCCACCCCTGAATCTGGGCTTCCCTGTGACTTTCTCTGAGCAACCTAATGTAGTGTGACATTTCCAGTTCTGGGTCTAAGCCTTAAGAAATCCTGACAGTTTCATCTTTTGGGATCCAGCCACCATGCAAAGAAAACAGTAACTCAGTTAGTATGGGAGGAAGGACAGAAGGAAGAGGAAATCTTTCATCAGTCCCCACTAGGGTACCAGGTATGTGAGTGAAGCCACATTGGATGTTGTAGCTCTGGCCACCAAATGCAACCACATGAAACCCCAAGAGAGACCAGAAGAAGAACCAGCTGTAGAAACCAATCAACCTACAGAGTTATGAGGGATAATAAAACTGATTTTTTGTGTGTGTGTGGTGTGACTGGGGTTTGAACTCAGGACTTTGTGCTTGCTGGGCAGGTACTCTATACTTGAGACATGCCCCCCCAGTCCCCAGAATATTATTTTAATAGGTCTTTTTTAACAAGTGAGAAAAGATAATGAAGCTGGAATACATGAAAACTTATCACTATAAATGAAATATAATTTTTTTTATTTAAGACAGCTTTTTCTGGTGGTACTAGAGTTTGAACTCAGGTTTTGTGCATGCTAAGCAAGGACTCTACCACTTGAGCCATGCCCCTATCCCTTTTTGCTATAGGGTATTTTTCAGATAGGGTCTTTCTTTTTACCTGGGGCCTGTCTTGGTCCACAATCCTCCTACCTATGCCTTCCATGTACCTGGGATGTCAGGTGTGCGCCACCATTCCACCTTGCTTTGTTGAGATGGGGGTCTCACTAACTTTTTTTGCCTGAGCTGGCCTTGAATGGTGATCCCCCCTATTTTCACCTCCCAAATAGCTGGCATTACAATCGTGAGCTACCGTGCCCTACCATCAGATATTTTCAAAAGCAGTAATTCATAGTCCATTCTTTTTCAACATTAAGCACTTTCACCTTCAATGTCACCCAATTCTACAATAAAACCCTGGACCTTGCTGTCACCTAAGCTGCTGTACCTCTAAAATCTCAAATAATGCATTTTCTTTCTATAACCACAGTAACATCTGATTCTTTAACATTTTTGTTCTGCACACCTTTCTTCCAACTCAGTGAAATCTTTTAATCTCCTATTTTTTCCCCTCTCATTAATCTTTTCAAGGCTTTCTTTCCCTATTCAGTTTATCCTTTGGTTAATTCCTCTAATCCCAAACTCCCTTGCTCCTTATGGATGTGCCCTAAAAAACTGTGATCACCACAGTGCCTGCATGCAGAAACAGACAGAAGGGCCAGTTTATCAGTTTGCCTTCTCAGCTTTAAAGCTGAGTTCTGCTACAGAAAAACCACACAACTGATCTGTACCATTACAAACTCTTAATTTTTAAAAGTCTTCGTTTGACTATTGCCAATATTCTTTCACTTGTATATTGTAGCTTTCATTTCCTTAAGCCATTAAACCTGTGCCACTGTCTAAGTTTTATATTCAGTCTTATTCTCCTCTTTTCTTCAATCCTTTGTGCAGAATTACCTAGAAAGGAAAACTGTCAACTTCCTAACAAATCACCAATCTCTCCTTCCTTCTATTTGCCAAAAAAAGTTTTAACATTCTGATTAAAGCCAATTTCTCTTTTGTTTTATCTTGGCCCAAATCCCTGGGGTCTCAAGGAACTTGGTCCATAAATTGTCCTGATGGCATATGCTAACCTCTAACTAGAACAGTCTTAGGTTATCCCTCCTCTTAATGTGAATATTCTCATATTTTCCTTTCTTTTTAAGAACTGTGAGTTATATGTGCCATCTAGTTAATCTCAGATCACCATTTTCTTCTAACAAGTTAATTTGCTATGTCTTCCCTTGTTCACTTCTGAATTAGACTATGCACTTTGTCCATATTTGAATCCCTGGCACAACTCAGCAACTGACTCATGTTAGGTAGGTTCTTTCAACATCTCATTGAAAGTCATCAATCACTTCTTTAGTAGCTTTGTGAACAAATTTTAGAAATTATTTTACCTTATTTCTGCCAGGATCAAGATGTTGACTATTTTTACTACCCTTAAATGTTAATCTTTTTTATTTTATGAATCTCCATTATCTTTTCCTATTTTCTTGGTTTTCTCCCTTATATTTTTCTCCTCCAAGGTATTCCCTAACTGCAACCCATTTACACTGTATCTTAAATCCTTTTCTTCCCACTGGAGAAAACAGGAAAGCAAATTCCAAAGCTTACTACAACTTTTATAGAGTTTTCTTAAGCCCTACACCACTGAGAGTGTTAATTACTTCTTTCTCTCTGAACTATGGAACATGCACATGCTGCTTTTTGTTTATATTTGCTTACGTTTCCAGAAACACAGAAATCACTCCGCAGAAGTTGACTTGACCACATGAATGTAATTTGTAATTTTTTTGAGCCTCTTCTTTTATAGTTTCTTTTAAAATATCAGAAATAAAAATTTGGTCCCAGTGTTATCCAAATACTTATAAAAACAAGATAAAATATTTTAAATCCCTTCATAGTCATCAAAATATACTTACATATTTAATTATATTTGATAATGTACTTTAAACTCTACTCACCCAAAGGCTGGTCAGTTGTTTGCTCTTTGTTATCTACACAAAGATAAAAAAGCAAAAAAGATGTTATTATTCATGACAAATATTTTCAGAGTTAAAGACAGAAGAAAAGCAATGAAGAAAAACAGGAGTAACATCATTAAAACACATCGCTCACTAGAGGCTGGAAAGGCAGGGGGATAGGGAGAGGGGAGAAAATGGGTACCTAAACAAAGAAAAGGGCAGGTAGTTCTAATGTTACATAGCACAATAGGACAACTACACTCTATGACAGCTATACATTTCAAAATAATTAGAGGAGAAACATTTGAAGGTTCAATTACAGGTTACAATATATAAATAAGTACAAATATTTCAAATCAATTAGAGAAACATAATTTAAAAGGAAAAAATATAGACTACAGTTGGTAACAGCTAACTTACAATTTAAAGATTTTTGATAAAAATTCAGGATGGACAGAATTGGAACTGAGCAGGGGAATTCCTCTGGTAACTGATTACATAGCTGAGGATAATCCTTAACACCTTAATAGTAATTATAATGTAAGCATAGCAGCAGTGTTAATAAAAAGTAGTAGCAGCAGTCATTAACACTTACGGACACATTGGCTGGCACAATTCAGCATGCTTTATACATAACAGATTTAAAATCTCACTCTACCCTATTTGGTATGTTATATTATTATATAAATAAACCAAAGCATAGAGAGGTTAAGTCACTTGCTCAAAGTTGTAAAGCTAATAGTAGCAAATCTGGATTGTAACTAAAGGCATCTTGTTCCTGATTCTACACTTTCATCACTACTCTATATAGAATGAAGTTCCTCCCACCCTGGAGCACCACCATCAAGAGATGCAGGGAAAGATATAGTTCAATCCATGGCCACGGCGTGTCCCCTACTATAGGGAGGGCAATTCTGTTTGCATGTTTAGTAATATAACTGCTACGGGAGCCTATTATAAACTTTCCCCACATATCACTCTTTTTAGAATCAAATTTTTGGTCTGATTCTGGGGAAATAAGGAAAGAGGGGAGCAGGAAAATTTTAGAAGCTTGGTGGTAGGCATGTGCAAAAGATTTTATAAAATCACGGTGTTCATTAAAGGGCAAGAAATAACAAATTTAGGAAATGAGATTCTATCTATACCAAGAGAAACAATTACTAGTATGATTCTCAACAGTATTTAGGTGTGGGTGCTTGAAGCAAGTCTCATTGAGGCTTTGCATGAATTTGAGGATACTACAGCAAGCAGAAAGATATACTGGTAATGGTGGCTTTCTTCTTTGTCTAATTTGCTTACAATTACAGTATAGCCCAAACAGTATTTACAATAAGAGATGTTTATTAACGAAATATGAAACTAAGCAAACTGAGGCTGGGGATATAGCTCAACAGTAAAGCACTTGCCTAGCATGTGTGAGGCATAGGGATCACTCCCCAGTGGAGGGAAGGAAGGATGGAGGGAAGGAGGAAAGCGAGGAAGGATAGGAAGGAAAGAAGGAAGGAAGCAGGAAAGGAAAGAAGGAAAGTAGGGAAAGGAGAGAAAGGAAGAGGGAAGGAAAAGGAAAGAAGCAGGAAAGAAGGAGAGAAAGGAAGGAGGAAAGGGAGAAGGGAAGGAAAGGAATGAGAGAAGGAAGGGAAGAGGGAAAAGAGAGAAAGGAAGGAGGGAAGGAAGGAAGAAAGGGAAAGAAAGGAACTAAGCAAAATAGCTGGTTCTAAAGTGGACAGGAGGTATGGCTCATGTAGTAGAGCATGTGCTTTGCAAGTGCTAAGCCCTGAGTTCAAACCCCAGGCCCATGATTAAAAAAAAAAAAAAAAGTGCATGAGAGAAAAAACAGGGCTTTCTACAAATATTAAATCACACGATTGCCTTTTTAATGCCTTTCTGTATGATTTTATTCAAATATATTCACAGGTTCCATCACTGTCTATCAGAATGTCCATTACTTCCTTTTTTGAAAGAAGAGTAACCCACAAGATAAATAAATTTACTGATGTTTTATGTTGCCTCAAATACTTTCCTACTCTTATGATTTTATAATCAAGAATATTCTTTACATTTCAGGTACATGACATTGAACTTCATGTAAGTAAGAATTTCAACCCTAAATTATATTATTTCAACAAAGAAAAAAGTTAGGAGGATTACTGTTGTGAGAGTATCTACAGTATCTTTGTTATATTCAACTTAACAATCTAAAACTAAAGCATTTTATTTGTATTACTCACCAGGATGCCCAAGATTATTTAATTCATCTAAAACAAAGATAAAATAGATTAATTTTTAAATAATCTAAATGCTAGTTTAATACAAACACTAAAACTTAATCACAATGAAATCTTTGAGCTGCTAAATCATGTTGCAATGCTTTATCAGTTTAAAACTTTTCAAATCAAATGAAGAAGGCATGCAAATACCAAATAGGAAAGAATACTGCTGTGGATGTCATTTAGGACTTTAAGCTATTGCTACTTTCATTAAATGACAAAAAGCCAAATAAATTCATCCATAATTTGTTCAAAGTTTTAGATATTCTGACCAACTATGGAACAAAAAGAATCAAGAGATAGGTCTGTCTGTGGCCTCAAATGTGAACTTCTTGAAACTAATAATCTCAAATGATTAATTTTAGAACTTTGGAAGATTTATGAATTATTGAGGGATAGTGCAGAAAGTTTCCATATACCCCAAACCTAGTTTCCCTATTATTAACATCTTATGTAGGATGATACATTTGTCATGACTAATGAACCACTTATGTTCTTTTTTGTTCTGTTACTCTATCTAGGATAATACACACATTACTGTGCCTCCTTAGGCTCCTCTTGGTGTGACAGTTGCTCAGACATTTCTTGTTACTGATGACTGTGACAGTTTTGAGCAGCAACTGGCCAGATATCGAATGTCCCTGAATTGGGATGTCTGATGTTTTTCTCATGGTTAGACTAATCATTTCTCAAGACGTGCCGTGCTTTCAGAAGGTAGACCTGTTTCAGAATTAACATGTACCCCTGTGGGTCATTTTATCATGGCTAACGTCTAGTTAAAATAATCCAAGTAAATGTCCATGACATTATGGTCATCATCTATTTTTTCTATAAAAGTTTTAAGAAGGCAAAACTTAACATTCACAATAAATTGTAAATGTTACAGCATTTACAAGGTGTTTAGACTGACAAAGTCAGTCTAAAAATGATATCAACCACAGCATGAGGTATGTACAATTTCAATGGCCTTCAGTCTCATAGACTGGATTATATGCAGTTACAGAGGTCAGCATCTTCTTCCACCTTTCTTCAGTGAGGATGGTTCATGTACTTGGAATACAGTTAGATGCTTTTGTCAGTCTGTGTTCTGTTTTGGGGGCTCCTTCCTCTGGCTTTCTAAATGATCATTTAAAGTTTGTATTTGCTGTTATAGTTTTCATACAGGATTGCTTCACTGCCATAAAACTAGAAATTTACTTGCCACTTCTTGTCCTAATCAAGAAATACATAAAATGAAAAACAGGATATCATGTTCTGTGGTTGAAGAAAAGACAAAAAGGACACTGTTCACAATTCCTGTCAATCCATCAACTGTAAAATGTCTAAATTTTGTAGGCTTTGAGAAAAAAAGTTGGTTCTAATTTTCCATCTGAAAGTTTTAGAGCAACTTCATAGGTGGATTTTCATCTCCATGTGTGTTTTTGTTTCTTTTTTATTATTGTTGTACTAGGGGTACATTGTGATATTTACCAAAGTTCTTACAATATATCTTAGTTGAATTCACCCCCTTATTTGTTTTTTGGTGGCACTGGTGATTGAACCCAAGGCCTTGTGCATGCTAGACAAGAGCTCTACCTCTGAGCTATATCCCCAAACCCTTTATGTGTTCTGAACAGTTATCTGAAAACTATTATTCTTTTGCCTAAGAATTTATTGCATTTTTAAAATTAGCATGTAACAGTTGTACAGGGGATACATTGTGATATTTACATATGTACTTACAGTACATCTTAATTAGATTCACCCCTTCCATTGTTTTCCTTTATCTCCCTTCCCTGCTTCTTAGAACTTATTTGAACAGATTTTATTATTCTATTTTTCTACATATGTACAAAATAGATCCACCACATTCACCCACTCTGTATGCCCTTTCCTCCCCAAGAAAGGACCTGTTTTACCTTCCTGTCCTTCATTTTTTAAAAGTGTATATTGATAGTCCAAGGGGTTTTTGGCATTTTAGACATGTATATATGATGCTTCAATGAGAGTAACCTCCCCATCACTTACTCTTCCTCTATCGCCCTGCTCCCCTATTATTCAACAGCTTACAGTGCATTGTGCTATATTATCTTCATACAGTGAGTCATGCAGGTATAGCAGCAGCATGGCAGGGTGATGATCACATGCTTCACCCTGAAGCCAAACAGTGGTGCTTGCTTATATTTATTCTTAGAGACCTCCAAGGTTAGGAAGTTTAAAAAATCATGCACTAGGCAAAAAAGGAGTCAGAGACGAAGAAAAGTTCTCTCACGTAGGGTTAACAGATCATGGATTAGAACTCTTATGTGAGATTCTTGTTAATGACTACGTATTAGGATAATTATTAGTATTTTTAAAATGATACCATAGAGATATGAATGACAGAAAAGACAAGAAACATAAGATTTTAACATTATTTTCCATCTTTACCCAAGTAGAGCTCAAGATTATGCAATAGTCTGAAGAGGCAGCAACTGAAAAAAATACTTTGCTATCCAAACCCCTAATTTAGCAAACAAATGTGACATCATACTAAGGAAAGGTAATCCAAGTTCTAGTATTTACTCATTATAATATAAGTACAATACTTTGGTTAATAAAAACAAATTAGAGCTGAGTGCCTGTGGCTCATGCCTGTAATCCTAGCTGCTTAGGAGGCTAAGATCAGGAGGATCATGATTTGAGGCCAGAGTGAGCAAATAAGTCTTGAGACCCCATCTCCAAAATAACCAGAGCAAAATGGACTGGAGGTGTGGCTCAAGTGGCACAGCGCCTGCTTTGGGAGCATGGAGCCCTGAGCTCAAACTGCAGTCCAACTAAAAAAAAAGAAGTTAGAAGTTTATGTTGAAATATATTCAGTTCTCTTTAGATAGTAAAGGTGCCATGGTAGATTAGCCAACAGCATTGTAGCTTGAAAAGTTCCTTATCAATATTATTTTCAGAATATCTAATATTTGATAAAACATGCTGAACAATAAATCTGTCCTGAAACTTTAATAGAAGCTACATTTAGATTTGAGGGGCATCTTATCCATGGTTAAGAGATAAAATAATCTAAACAAATATTTATGGCAAAATAGATATTTATATACATGTTCTGAAGATAAAATTTAACGTTAAAAATTAAGTGCAAATGGCCAGGTGTGGTAGCATATGTCTGTAATTTCACCACTCGGGAGGCTGACGTAGGATGTTAAGTCTGAGGGCATCGTAAGCTACATAGTAAGACCTTGACTCAAAAAAGAATTGAAAATATTCATTTCTGAAAACATGTTATGAGGAGCTTTGTTCTTATATGCCATAAAAAATAACAACTGAAGATTACTTCAGTAGTGTGTCAGCTTAATGGTATCTGTGGCAATTTGTAAAACCTCAAAGATTAACATTCTTCAGTCAAAATAATTTCTTACAGCTAGTATTTTTTTCATCACTGCACTCAGTAAGCTAGAGTACTCCAACGATCCCCAGAGTAACCAGCATGCAGGAGACTTGATTATACTACCTTCAGTGCACTCCACTGCCTCATCTGTTCTTCCTTTTGTCAGAGAAAACAAATTCGAATATGTTGTAACTCATGATCTTAGGAAGGGCAGCCATTAAGCAAACAGAAATAAATATCACAGAAATATGTTGTCAAACCAACACCCTCATCAATATCTCCTACTATTAGCAACATAGCTACAAATGCATTAAATGTAAACAGAACAAACTGCCAAGTCATGCAATTCATCATGGGGAGTACTGACATTCATTTTTTTCCTTTATGTGTCTGTGATAGTGTTATATTTCATCAAAAATCTTTTCCACCAGGCGCTATGCTCCTTTGCATAGCCACCTGCCAATGTCTCTTCTTTTAATGGTGTCTTAATAAATCTGTTTTCTTCTGGAAAAAAAAGTCTTTTCTACCAGATCAAGACTTTCATATTCAAAGCTTTAAAGAATATATTTTTGACATAATGTTTAACATAAATTACATTAAAAAAATAAGATCTAATTAAAACAATTTTTTTTGTTTCTTTTTGTTCTTTGTACATGAGCCTACATTATAAATTTAGTATGCATACTCTAACATTTCTATATGAACAAGCTAACATGTAGGCTAGGGAGGTGGAACAGTGGTAGAACATTTGCCTAGCATGTGCAAGGCCCTGGGTTCCATCCTCAGTCCAAGGAAAGCAAAACGAAACAATATACTTCTGATACTTAACACACTACTAAGCATTATGGGGAAAAGTAGTAGAATTTGCTTTGCTTAAACATTTCACATTTAGTTACATTACACCCCCTTGTCAGAACACTGAGTAATACTGCTTACCTATGATGATTTCTACCTTCCTACTCTCTTGACTGTCTCGGTCATTATACACACGACACCAGTATGTTCCTTGATGTTCCAAATCCACATAAGGCACCTACATCAATAGCAGAAACATTCATATTTCCCTTCAAATTTAATTTAAACTGGTTTACAGAAAAATCATTTTGTATTTAAACATAACATTTCGAACGCTTTAGACATTCTTAGATTATCTCCATTCAGAAGGATAAATAATAGCAAGCAAATGATATAATGATCTTAATAGTGGTGAGTTTGATATAATATTTGACACTTTATTACACAGAAGACAAGTTGAATTATAGTACTTTTGCAAATATTAAGAATAAATTAATGTTAAATCACAAGGGACTTGAACATTATAACACTCTAAAACACATGAGTTTAATGTTTATGTTTTAATTTTACCACCTGTTTTACTTAACTCCCCAAATTGACTACCTACCATGTATAGCTTTTTTGTCTCATGTGTTAATGGTGATTCATTTTTGAACCACTGGTAGTGAGGAATAGGGCTTCCAATGGCAACACACTGCAAAACCAATGTGCTGCCTGGAACCAGCTTTTGGGACCTTGGTTCAATACAGATTTGCAACTTGGATTCTGAGATGCCATCCACATTTCCTTAAATTAAAAGAAAAAAAATAAAATCTCTAGGTTAAACATAGAAACAAAAATTTTCTATAATTTAAGCAAATAGATATGCCCAAGTTTATACTTAAGTTTTTCCAACCTTTAAAAACATCTCTACACTATATTTCACAAAATTATAGTACTCCCTGAACTATGAAGAGATGTTCTGTGGATAAAAGAGTATGGTGGACAAGTAGGTTTAGAAATTCTGGGTTAAACAAAGTTAACAGGCAGGCATACTCAGGAAACTGGAAGTAATAAGGAAAAAATAAATTTGAGTTATAGATGCCATGGGTAAAAGGCACCAGGACATGAAAGTTGGCAAGTTTGAAGAGCACAGAAGCAAGGACCAGGGATCTGTGAGTAGGTGCAGCCATGTACACAAGAAAGACAATCAAACCCTGTGGGATCAAATCTTAATGTCCAGTAACACTGTATTGGATAAACGACTTGTTGAACTTTAGGTATTATTTGATATTCTGAGGTTTTTTTTTAAATTTCTATTTTATTTATTTGTTTAATTTTACTTTTCATTTAATTTTTACTTTTTGGCAGTATTGGGGTTTGAACTGAGGGCCTTGAGCTTACTAGGCAAGCATTCTACTACTTGAGCCACAAATCCAGCCTTGAAGTTATTTTAAAGTAAATAGTAAAATAAAAAAAAAAATACCCTGTGCCACTAAAAAAATACATTAATAAAATAAGGCAATCTACTAACCAACATTAATCTTCTTTTGTCACTTACCCCTAAAGCTTTCTGTTACTTCTGTCACATCACAAACATCCAGCTGTGACCACTGGCTAAATTCAAAGGTGAAATTATTATTAACTCGACAGACATAAAAACCTGCATCTTTTACATGTACCGTGTTAAAAATTAGTTCTGATGCATTTCCATATGGAATCTGTGAAAGAATCAATAAGAGAATATAAGTGAATGATTCATCAAAAACAAATCATGCATCTTATAAAACAAGCTGTGCAAAATCTATGATTTCATTATGGAACTTTGAAAGCACCTTTTTTTCCTCTTCCAAGTTTTAAAATATTTGTTTGTTACAAAATAAAACAAAACAATAACATTTTGAGGACTGAAGTATTAGAAATCCACACAGTTTTAACAAATCCATTAACCAGAGAGGTAAGCTATCTTCCAAATATCTTTCAGAAGCTCAGTAACAGAAACCCATCTGCTCTATCATTAAAACAGTTCAATTGTTCAGTATGGAAAGCACCTACAGCTGCAACCTTTTTGAGTGACATACAACATGACAAACAGCAGTAACAGGGAAAGGAAAGAGAGCAAGACTGTCTATTGCTTTAAGTTCTGACCGAATTAGCTGTGAATACCCGGAGAAGTTGTTTCACCTGGGGACCTCACTGTCTCATCTGCAAAATTCAGTAAAAGGAAAGACTCCATAACTAAACCATATCCAGCTTCTTTCAAGGTCTGGGCTTTGCAGGAAACATGCAAGTGATGAGAAGGAATGGCCTTTCTAGCTCTTCACAGTGAAGTTTCTTTCACTTTTGCTGCTTCCAGCATTTTTTCAGCTTCACCCAGCTTGCACATTGCCAAGGGGCTTCCTCAAAGGTGTCACTATGTTATAATAGCCCCTTGCAAAGTACTTCAGCAAGCTCACAGCTCTCCCTCTCTAAACCCCAGCCAAATGAACTTAAACTTGTCTTACTAAGTTGGGTATATAAGCTTCTAACCATTTAATACATTACTTATTTGGTAGGCTCCTGGATATGTATAAAGTTTTTTCTCTTGCTAATCTACCTGATCACAGTTTTCTGCAGGTCCCCAGCACTGAGCTGAAAAGAAGAAAAGTTTTTTCCTCACCACCAATCCCATCCTTTCTGACCTTGCTCCTGCAATTTTCTCTCTGCTTTATACTTTTTTTTTTTTTAATTTTTGAGACGAGGTCTCACTGTTTTGCCCAGGCTAACCTTGAACTCCTGGGCTCAAGTGATCCTCCCATCTCTGACTCCGAGTTGCTGGGCCACAGGTATGCACCCCTGTGCTCAGCTGTTTGTACATTTATTTGTTTTCTCTCTGCTTTAGCATCTATCTCTCCCTTTTACTGTATCACTCTCAAAAACAAACTCTAATACCTTCTATCATAAATTAGCCAACAAAACCTCCCAAATTTTCCCTTGTCTTTATGGCCCTTCTAAGTAGCATTGAAGAAGCTGGCTACCCCTTTCTTCTTGAAATAACTTTTCCTTTTTAATCTTCTTAATCTTTTTACTGGCCCTTTCTTGCCTTCCCTTCACTACATAGTTCTCAATGTAGTAAAACATTCTAACGATCTGATTCAGTTAGACATGTCGAATTTAGTTTGTCTGACATCAAACTCTTGATATTCCTCTCTGTTCTTCTCAAAACCTCAGCATAAATATGTCCCAGATGTTCAAGTGGAAAACCTAGGGATCATCCTAGTTTTCTCTCTCTTTTCCCACATGTTCCACATCCATTCTAGGAGTATGGCTGGCAAGGTATCTCTAAAATATACACTGAATGCCCTGTGATACACCTTGCTGTGTGCAAGGTCCACACTATGTCTATTTCTAGTCAAGCATAGGCATTAGATATTGGTCTTCTTGTGGTTCTCTGTCTCCTTGAAGCTGCAAGTTTGTGTGTTAAAAACATAAATCATACCATGTTACTTCCCTTGCTTAAACCCTTTAGTGGCTTCTCACTTCCTATTACCCACCCTGCTTATTTTCCTACTAGCTGTGAACTCACAGAAACAACTGCCTTTACCTACTACCCATCCCTCCCCTTGGGATGCAGGCTCCACAAGGGAAGGGACCTTGTGTGCCACTACTGCATCAACATGCCTTAGAATGCAGCCTGGCATAAAGTAGTAGTTGCTCAACAAAACTTGTTACATGAGTATCTCCTAATACAGACCTACGAACACAAGAGCAGGCTGATAAAACTCAACTTTAAGTTAGAATTTTAAAATCCATTACAACTCTTCAAATCTGGGATGTACTCCACTTGCCCTGCATTCCTACCTTTCTCCAGTCAGAACATACTTTATAAAAGGTATACTTGTAGGATGTTTTTCCATATGCCACCCTCAAAGACATTTATTGAAATAAAAGCATCTTTCCAGTACAGAAAATATGGTAAAAATACCTTTAGCTTTTCTCTCTCAAAAAGCCTAGGCACATAATTAAATCTCATAACACTCACTGGATGATAGGAATTTAAATGACCAGTTATGGTAGTCAGGTTTCCAGCATAAGTTCATCTTACACCAAAACCTACACACAATCTCTTACTACATAACACGGTTGCTCTACTTTAATAGTATGTAGGTACAGAAATAAAAGACTTGTATAAAACCACAAATTTCTTCTATGGCATAAGGTGACCTCATTTAAGGAAAGATCATAAACTAGGAATAGCTTTGTTTGGTTTCAGATTTGCAAATGGAGTCTTAGCATCGAGTTTGGAAAGTACCTGAACTATTAGGCTGAAAAGAATACGGAGTTTCAAGGTATAATGTAGAAGAACAGAGGAGAGGAGAAAGATGAGTGAGTAGAATAAACAAACCCACAGAAGTGGAACACACATAGGGCAGCCAGGAGTAAGAAATCCCTAGTTCCCATTTCATGACCAAATTTTATTTTAGAATGACCTGAATCTTTTGATATAATTGGACTTCTTAAAATAATAACATTGTATTAGCTTTCCATGTAGCATTGAAAATCTTCTAGTTAAAATTTTTGGTTGTAAGATGATCTATTTTAAAGAATTTTATAGAGATATATTAGAATGGATTGGTGATAGCTCATATCTGCTAATGGTGTTGACTTAAGTGATGTCTATTTTCCACAATTTTTACAGTGAAGTGATTTCAAGATTGCTTACATTAAAAAAAAAAAAATCCCACTCTTTAACCAAATTCCTAAAATCACATTTAGTATGATAATGTTAATTAATTTTCTGTCTTTCTGTCTTCTTATAACAGAAGAATTAAAAGGCATTACAAATTACCTCTTTATTCATTTTGAACCATTGATATTGTACAAAAGGATGTCCAGTTGCCCGGCAACACAGTTTCACAAACTGTCCAGCCAAGACTGCCTTTGATTCTGGGTGTATAGTAATTTTTAATCCTAAAAAAAATTAAATAAAAGAAGTCAAAGATGAGGATTTTCTTGTATATATATATATGAAACCAAAACCAGGAATATTTTGGAAATTACCTGTTATATTCATCTTTGTCATAAAGCAAATACTTGAGGAAAAAACTTACCTGCAGAAGATGTTGAGCTACTCTATTTCCCATGATTGAGAGGAAAAATTAATTGTCACATTTCTTAAATTCTTAGAAAAAAAAATTTCCCCCATATTCTAATACTTCTGAAATCAGGATGCATCTTATAAAAGATACCTGCCAGGCAGACACCATAATGTAGATCTCAGCCAGCTTATACAAATACCTGATTATAAATGCTCATACGGCCAGCACTTCAAATGAATTAGAAGCACTATTAATGATAGAAGTATTAAGTTTAAATGTTTGCTATGGGCTGAATGTGTTCCCACAAAGTCATGTATTGATAGCTCAATTCTCAATGTCTCAATGTAACAGAGTTGGAAGATAGGGCCCAGTGGGAGGTGTTTAGATTACAGGGACTTCGCCCTCACTAACAGATCAATGACACTATAAAAAGGCTTTGGAGAGTGAGTTTGCTTGCTCTTCTGCTGCTTGTTCTGGCTTGAAGAAGAGGCTGTGCCACGAGAAGAGGCTGCAAGAAAGCCCTTATCACATACCAGTCTTGGACTTCCCAGTCTCTACAACAACAAAAAATAAACCTTTGTTCTTAATAAAATTATCCCATCCATGGAATTCTGTTGTAGCAGCATAAAACAAACTAAGACAATGCCATGAAATGATTGAAAACGAAATGAAAATGTCATGAAATGCCCATATTATCATTTAGCATTGAAACAAAAACTATTTTACAAGTAGAAAGGCACAGAAACAGCAGGATATAAATTTGATACTTGAGATGCAAATGTTTCTTGTCTGAGGAATGGTTACTACCAACAAAATTCAGAAAACTTTTGACAGAAGCTCGGAAGAAAACTCCTTGGTTCAATTACAGAACACCCTCTCGTCCCTTGACTTCTCCCTCAGTCACTCGCTCTGGGGAAGCATACCACCCGTGTCATAAGGACACACAAGCAGCTTTGTGGAGAAGCTTGAGTGGTAAGAAACGAAACAGTCCTCCTGCCAAAGAGCCAGTGAGGAAGTGAGGTCTCCTGACAACAGCATGTAAACGAGCCATCTGAAAAGAGGATTTTCCAACCCAAACCTTCAGATGGCTGTAATCTTGGTCAGCAGATTGCCACCTTGAGAGACCCTAGCCTAGATTCCCATCTTCAGAACTTGTTATAATAAATGTTTGTTGTTTTAAGCTTTTGGCTTAAATTTATTATGCAACAATAGATAACTGATATAAAAACAAAACAAAGTTAGGAAATTTTACATTTGCTGATGTTACTGGGTTCATTGGTTTTCAAGAATGAGTAAGAAAAGATCATTTAAACTTAATTTTCTACATCTACTTTTGTTATCTTTAGCTATCCTGACTATGATATTATAACAGTGTCTTTTCCCTCTACTTTCCACCAACCTGAGGGACAAAACAAGGTTACAAGCGATGAGGAAAATGTAAGTAAGAGCAATGTTTACCTGGTGAATTGAGATTGGGAGGATTTTGGTTTGAGGCAACAGAAGCATAAAGTTATTGAGATCCCCATCTCACAAAACAGTTGGGCATGATGGTGTTTATTTGTAATCCCAGATGTGCACAATGCCTAAATCAGAGGATCTTGATCCTGGCCCAGGTCAAAAGCAAAAACAAAAATTCGAGACTATCTAAAAAAATAACTAAAGCAAAAAAAGGCTGGATAGGTGTAAGCATGAGGCAGAATTCAAACCCTAGTACCACCCAAAAAAAAGAGCAATCTTAATATATCGAAGGTACAAAATTTTCTATTAAAAAAAGTATAATATGAAACCCATATGAGTAACTATTTATTGCATACCTAGCACATTTGAGGGTCTGTAGAAACCCCAAAAAATCTTAGCTTGACAAGGGCCTTCATGTTAATTAACCTTGACTTTTTTTTGAGTACTGGAGTTTGAACTCAGGGCCTTGCTGCTTTCTAGGCAGGTGCTGTACCACTTAAGCCATACCCCCAGTGTTCATTAACCTTTTACACTGCATAGCTGAGGCAAAGCAAGCCAGGATGGATGAAATGTAGAATTTTTCTGAATTCTGTGATGCGTGTTGGTAGAAACTTGGAAAATAAGGCCAATAAATTCACAGCATTTTAAATTAAAATTAAATTTTAATTTGCCATTGATCTTTCTGGGTAATCTTATGGCACAACTTTAGTCCCAGAGAGATTAAATATTTCACCAAAGGTAATCTGGGTGAACTACAAATTTCTTTTTATTATTACAACATAGACTTAATTAATATCTACCTTGTATGGTTATTTCGAAGGTTAGAGATAAAAATGTCTGATGCATTAAGAGTCAGTAAATTGCTGCTACAGTAATTTTTATTATTATGAATATTCATTCAACAACTACTTGTTTGGATACCCAGTTGTTTTGCCTTACGCCAGTCACTGTTCTAGGAGTTGGATAATTTGGTGACTATACAAACAGTCCTTGTTCTCTCAGAACTTCTATTTTAGTAGGAGAGATAGGCAGCAAGAAGAATTTTCAGAAAATGATTAGTGCAATGAAGGACACAAAATAAAATAAACATAATAGAGAATCCAGGGCAGGGAAGTAGCTAATTTAAAGGTATCCCCTAAACTGGGTGTGGTGTCCTGTTCCTGTAAATCCCAGAGCTTGGGAGGTGAAAGCAGGAAGGTTGGGAGTTCCAGGCCAACCTGAGCGACACAGTGAGATCCTGTCTCAAAATATTAAGAGCAATTTATTGGCTTTCCACATGAATGAATATTCATATTTTTAAGTGCTAAGTTTAAAATTCAGGTTTCAATGTGGTGTAAATAAAGAAAACTTGCTGGCTATAAAGGAGAATGATGTGGAGATGAACTGTGTATATACTTTGGGAAGAACAAAGTTAACTATTTCTTCTGTTATGCACTAATCAGTATAGTGTAACTCATAGTTCTGCACTGTATGCAACATATATGCTTTAGTATTTTAATGTTTGTACATTAATATTTTCAATTATAAACCACTTTGCTGTTAATATTTTGCCTCCCATTCCCATTTTTCCCTTTATAATGAGTTTCTTCATTAAAAACCAAAAACCAAATCAAAATGAAGCAACAAAAACCAAAGGCCAGGAGTACAGCTTAGTAGTAGAGCACTTTGCCCAGTATGTGCAAGGCCCTAAATCAATCTCCAGCATTTCAAAAACAAACAAACAAACAACAAAAAAGGAAGTCTCCCAGAGAAGCTGGTAACATTTTAGTAAGAGACCTGAATGATGACATAGTAAAAAAGTCTGCCACGAAACCTGGGAGTTGGGTGCAAGACACAGCAGAGGTCCGTTGAGTGGAAAGGTAGAAATCGCTTGGCTTGTGAGAGGAAAGCAGACCCTAAGGGTGGAACATGGTGGTCAAGAGGGTGGAAAAGGCAGGGCATGAGAAGTAAAAATCAGTTTATATAGGGTCTCATGGGCCAGGGTAAGGAGTTGGGACTTTATCCCAGGTATGGTGGGAATTAGTTAAAAGGATTTTAATCACAGGAGTGATATGAGTTAATTTATGTTGCAAAAAGATATTTGGAGTGTTGGTTAGAAGCAAGGAAAGAAGTAAACAGACCACAACAATAGCTCACTCCAGAACTGATGGTAGTTTGTGTTTAGATCGTGGCACTGAAGATGGTTGAGACAATGAAAAGCTTAACAGATGGGACTTAGAGATAAATTACATGTGCAGAATGAAGAAACAGCAGGATGCATTTAAGAATGACTGCTAAATTTCTGTCCTGAATACCTGGACTGATGGTGGTAGTGTGTAAGACTAGTTGACCTTCCCCAAGATGGGGAAGTTTTCAGGGACGGGCAGTGGAGTCAGTTTTATGGATTAAACCCAGGGCATTGTATATGCTAAGCAAGTACTCTTAACACTTGAGCTGAGCCCCCAGCCTTTTTGTTTTTCTTTGAGACAGTGCCTCATGCCACCACTTTGCATGTACTGGCCCGATTCTCCATGCCTCTGCCTCCTGAATAGCTGGGATTACAGCAGACTAAATGATTTTTAATGTACATTCCAACTTACCATTTATAAATGGGTCCTATAACTGACAATTTTAGTAGTCAAGTCTTCAACAAACATATACACACACACACATACATCACTTATTGTTTCAAAGACTGAGCACCGAAAGGCGAAATGTGATTTGGAAATTGTCCCTGGTAAGTACGTAAAAAAATAAGTTGACTACTTCCCATTTTAACCACATATTGTTCTTCTCTCACATGGCCTTGTGCTATAGTGACGCATAGTTAATCCTTATGCAGTGTCCACTAGTCAGAAGGTGCTAAGCAAAGGTGAGGAAAGAATCTGGCACGGTAGGATGTACCCAGGCATATAAGATAAAGTTCTATTTTAACTGGTGAATGCACAACTTCCTGGCAAACAAGCAAATTTTCAGATAACATCTGCAAATAAGTCAAGAGAGGTTACTTGATTTCCTGTAAGCCTGGGAGAATGTGACTAGGTGTGATGGAACTAAGGATTGTGCTTTTGACACACACACATACACACACGTAAATAGATACATGATATTAAGCAATAAAACAAAATTTAGAACGTTGCTAGAATTATAAGAAAGGTAAATTAGAATGACCCTGAATTTGACAAAAGGATTTATCATAGGTTCTCTTTAAGTTATTCTCACTCACAATGCATTTAAATATTGATATACTTTACAAACACCTTTTCCAGAACAACTCTGTTAAATATATGAAAGGTCCTTTCCTTCAGAGGCTTCAATCTACAATACTTTCTTTCAAGGTTACTCTGAAACTTTCTAAGATATCACTGAAAAGTACCCAAGTGCCTCACAGCATTCCAGAATACTCTTCCTCTTCCTCCAACAATCTCTCCAATT